CTATAATACCAGGCTACAGTAATCAAAACGGCATGGTATTGGTGCCAAAACAGATACATAGACCAGTGGAACAGAACAGAGGCTTCAGAAGCAATGCCACACATCTACAGCCACCTGATCTTTGACAAACCTGATAAAAACAAGCAATGGGGAAAGGATTCCCTGTTTAATAAATGGTGTTGGAAAAGCTGGCTAGCCATGTGCCGAAAGCTGAAACTGGACCACTTCCTGACACCTTAGACAAAAATTAACTCCAGATGGATTAAAGATTTCAACAAAAGACCTAACACCATAAAATCCCTAGAAGAAAACCTAGGTAATACCATTCAGGACACAGGCATAGGCAAGGACTTCATGGCTAAAACACCAAAAGCACTGGCAACAAAAGCCAAAATAGACAAATGGGATCTAATTAAGCTCCAGAGCTTCTGCACAGTAAAAGAAACAATCATTAGTGTGAACCAGCAACCAACAGAATAGGGAAAAATTTTTGCAACCTACCCATCTGACAAAGGGTTACTATCCAGAATCTATAAAGAACTAAATCAGATTTACAAGAAAAAAAAACCAACAAGCTCATCCAAAAGTGGCCAAAGGATATGAACAGACACATTTCAAAAGAAGACATTTATGAGGCCAACAAACATATGAAAAGATGCACATCATCACTGGTCATTAGAGAAATGCAAATCAAAACCACACTGAGATACCATCTCACACCAGTTACAATGGCCATCATTAAAAAATCTGGAGACAACAGATGCTGGAGAGGGTGTGGAGAAATAGGAACACTCTTATACTGTTGATGCGAGTGTAAATTAGTTCAACCATTGTGGAAGACAGTGTGATGATTCCTCAAGGATCTAGAAATAGAAATTCCACTTGATCCAACAATCCCCTTACTGGGTATATACCCAAAGGATTATAAATCATTGTGTTATAAAGATGCATGCACACATATGTTCATTGCAGCCCTGTGTACAACAGCAGAGACCTGGAACCAACCCAAATGCCCATCAGTGATAGACTGGACAAAGAAAATGTGGCACGTATGCACCATGGAACACTATGCAGCCATAAACAATGATGAGTTTGTGTCCTTTCTAGGGACTTGGATGAATCTGGAAACCATCATTCTCAGCAAACTGACACAAGAGCAGAAACCCAAACACTGCATCTTCTCACTCATAGGTGGATGTTGAACAATGAGAACACCTGGGTGCAGGGAGGGAAACATCACATACTCGGGTCTGTTGGGAGATGTGGAGCTAGGGGTAGGAACAGCGGGCAGCTCGGAAGTTGGGAAGTGATAACACTGGGAGAAATCCCTCGTGTAGGTGACAGGGGCTGGAGACAGCAAACCACCATGGCACATGTGGACCTATGCAACAATCCTGCAAGATCTGCACATGTACCTCCGAATTTAAAATACAATTAAAAAAAATAGGCTCTTTCAAAATGAAAGCAAAGGTGTCATTACAAGGATTAGGGAGAGAAATGAAAGGACAGAGAAGACAGATGCTGAACAATGGCCTTGAGTGAGCAGCAGAGACAGCATCGAGCACGTGCAGGCCCTTTCCAGCCACAGCACAGCACAGCTGCAGGGAGGTGGGCAGATGTGGTCAGCTCTCCTCCGATTGCTTTGATTTTCTCAGCGAAGCAGGGAGCAGAATTATCTTTTGAGATTGAGGATGAGGGCAGTGGTATTGGAAGCTTAAGGAGACAGCAGAAATTCATTTAAAAGAAGTGAAGAGAATAGACTGAGAGAAGAAAGAATAATTGCAGGCTGCTTTAGGCGTGTTCTTGAGGTCAGTGATCCTGAATTTAATATCGATGAGTCACCATGGCTATTTGTTTTTCTTCAGCCATGCTTAGTTAAATGAGTTCAGGCATATAGTCGAAGGAAAGTTGGTGTTAGTCTGAATTCAGGAAGAATAAAGAAGCATTGAATTGGGCATGTATGCTGGGGAATGATAATGCTTGACCACGGAATTTAAGCTGGATAAGAGGCATAAAACACATGCATTAAATGAAAGATGATGAATTAGGAAATTAAAATTGGGATGCTATGAGCTTGTGGCACAAGAGGGGCTAGAATGGGGGGTTTGAAGGTGTCACCGTAGGGCCAATTGTTTGAAATTTAAATAATGGTCACAGTAATTACTTGTAGTGGTAAAGTGTGGGCTTTGAACATAGGAATGTGTGGTTAAAGAGGTCATCAGAGAAGAGGAGGTCAAGAGCAGAACGGCCAGGACACATTGATACAGTTTTCTCATATAGAAGGTATTGAAAGAAAAATGCTAGAGACTTGATAATAATCCAGAAATTTGAATCATTACCAGGCTGGGCAGATATGTGCAGATGTCTGGGACAGTGGATGGTGGAATTGGATTGAGTGCATATATATGTGTTTGACGAAAGCATTAAAAAAAGACTGAGGAACAGGAAGAATACCTATCCATCTCCAGGCTTGGTAAGATTAAAGCAGCAAATGAAATCAGATATCACTTGAGAGAACAGCAGGATCAAAGGATTCTCCACAGGAGAGCCAGCTTTCAATTAGCAGAGTAAGGTGAAAAGAATGTAACGAGCTAGAGGAAAGAGAGGCTTTGCAGATGACTGACCTTGTCCTTATAAAGCTTTCCACCTGTACTATGTTCGGAATAGGAGAGCCAGAAGGGAAGAAAACAGCCTGGGGTGTAAACAGAGCAAAGCGAGAAAAGCCATTCCTTTTCATAGGCAGATACACCATACACAATAAAGGAAGTCACACTTCTTTCTTTCTCTCTAACCCTATTCCTCAGACAGTTAAAGTTTTCATTAAGCAAATTAATTGATCCATAGTATCTAATTATGCTTTCCTTTGCAATGCTACATCAGCTTCTCAAGCAATTTGCACATTCATTTTTGGTGGTGAAATTAAAATGTGTTTAAATCCACGACGTTAGGGCCTAAGAAATTTTATGAGCAAATAAGAAATTGAAGTGGCTGAAGGGTGAGAATATAATATGATAATTGGTCCTGAAAAAAGTGAAACCTGTCATGTCACCTACTTTAATAAATACTGATTACAGATGGGGAAATCTTTGTTGATCATTACTTATGGAGAAAAGAAACTCATTCAAATAATTTGTTGAAAATGTCAAGAACATTACAAAACTATAATATACTAAAAATTAAGACTTGTTCATTGTTACAGGTTTGCTTATACATTGAGGGCGAGAGTTTACTCGATACATTATTTAAATATAAGTATATTTTAAATGCATATTATTGTAGCAGAGGTGTAACTGAATACTTTTTTTGTCAGTAATCTGTAAATCAGCAGGTAGAACATTGTAAGTATGATTGCAGATGATTCTGTTGAGCTCAATAACATATGTATTAGTACCTTATGCAAATAGATATTTGAAAATAACATGAAAGCAATACAGTTAAATCCTGTCTTACAGTTCATTTTAATTTATACTGCTATAATGGTATTACATTTTTTTCTCATAAATAAGTTCATGGAAAAGCAAAAAGGCAATAATTTACAGCCATATAACCTTTCAGAAATGTGTATTAAAGAATAAGCATATGAACGAAAGCAAATTATTAAAAACATAGTGAGGCTTCCGTCATAGTTTCCTATTCTGTTAGGGGCCAATGAGTGGAGAACCGCTGTAAGAATAAAGAAGTCACTGAAATATAGCAAGAGTTTTTTTTCTTTTTTAACTGAAAAGCATTTCTGTCACTATCATTATTTTATAACACAATAATGAGCTGCTCTTCCAGAACTTTAAACTTGTATTTCCATTTTATTCTTAGCTTTTGCTTTTGTATAAGCAATGTCTTCTTAATATCAGATGGTAGTTAGAATAAATTCTTATACAATTAAAATGATATTATATAAACCTCAATAATTGAATAATTTAAAGGTTTAAAAAACAAGCAATAGCAACAAGCGTTTTTCAACTTTTAGCAGAAAATGACCTTTGCTAACAGTGGTAAAGCTGAGTTTAGGTCTAGTTAAATGCAATCTGCTCATATGGTAATATTTAAGTCTTTATAGACATCTGATATTTTGTTTGTACAGAAAAACTGCTGCTGTTATAACATACCCTACTCTAAACTCCATTCTTTAATATTTAGGCAAATCCTCAATGAGATAAAACAGTGACTTACGTCAAACTTGAGAGGATTTTCTTCTGTTGGAACGAATGTCTACTGAGATACACCTCCTCTTCTAGGGATGGAGGGGTGTGTTCACAGAATCTCAAGACGACTCTCAAGAATCTCTTAAAGCCTCAAAAGTAACTGCTTTGATTTTTCATCTGAATATATCACTATTTTGTCAGATATTTTTTATGAAAACATGGCAGCACAGTTTTCTCCTCAGCCTTCTTCATTGGAGCACCCCGTGCTATAGACAAGCATTTTTGTAACTCTACGACTTGATTTTTCACCCAAGCATAGCAGATAACAAAGGAGGAAAATCAATATTATTATATGATACCTTTGAATATATGTTAACTTATAAATAATTACAGACTTAGTACATTATAGTGGCACCTCACTTCCAGATACTTAAATCGGTATTCGTTTCCTATTGTGGTTACAAAAATTGCCACAGGCTTAGTGGATTAGAACAGCATAAATTTATTATATTAGAGTTCTGTTCAAAAGAATCTGATATAGGTCCTACTGAGCTAAACTCAAAATATCCGTAGGCTGCATTCTATTCAAGGGGCTGTAGAGATGAGTCCATCTCCTTGCCTTTTCTAGTTTCTAGAGAGAGACTGTCTGCACTCCTTATGCATGACCTCTTCTTCCATCTGCAAAGCCAGCAGTGCGACCTCTCTACCCAGCTTCTGTTTCCACGTGAGGTAACACATTCAGAAGTACCTGGGGTAAGGACATGGATACATCTTTGGGGGGCATTCTTCTACCTATCCCATTATTGGTAACCCATGTCTTGAAAGCAAAATTATAAGAATCAGTATGTTGACAAAACATACTTGCAAAACTTAACCTTAATATTTGGTGTGGGAGAGAGATCCAAGATGGCTGATCACTAGCAGCTCGGGATTGTAGCTCCCAGTGAAAACGCAAAGAACGAGAGGACACCACACCTTCACATGAATTCTTGTTGTTCACGCACCAGGAGATTCCCAGCGGAGGAGCCCCACGGGCCGCCTCGCCTCTTGTGACCGGCGAGGAGGTTTTGCCGGCGCCTCGGAGCGTCGGTTCTTGGTGCAGAGTCAGAAAAGCACCATCAATCTTAACGCCACTGATTGAGTCGGCGCAGTGGGTTGCTCAGATTTTGGCGCTGAGAATCAATAAGTTGGACGTCCACTCAGAAACCCAATTACAAAGACGGTAATTATAAAGACCACAGATGGATAAATCTACAATGAAGGGAAGAAAACAGTCAAAAAAGGCTGAGAATACCCAAGATCAGAACGCCTCTCCCTCAGCAGGGGATCCCAGTTCCTCATCAGCAACGAAACAAGGCTTGATGGAGAACGAGTGTGTTCCAATTACAGAAGCAGGCTTCAAAATGTGGATAATAAGAAACTTCTGTGAATTAAAAGAATTTGTTCCAACCCAATCCAAAGAAACTAAGAACTTTGAAAAAAGGTTTGACGAAATGTTAACAAGAATACACAATTTAGAGAGGAATATAAGTGAATTGATGGAGCTGAAAAACACAATACGAGAACTTCGTGAAGTATGCACAAGTTTTAACAGCCGAATTGATCAAGCAGAAGAAAGGATATCAGAGGTCGAAGACCAACTCAATGAAATAAAACAACAAGACAAGATTAGAGAAAAAAAGATAAAAACGAACGAGCAAATTCTCCAGGAAATATGGGACTATGTGAAAAGACCTAATCTACGCTTGATAGGTGTACCTGAATGTGACGAAGAGAATAAATCCAAGCTGGAAACTACGCTTCAGGATATTATTCAGGAAAATTTTCCCAACTTAGTAAGGCAGGATAATATTCAACTCCAGGTAATACAGAGAACACCACAAAGATATTCCTCAAGAAGAGCAACTCCAAGGCACATAATCGTCAGATTCACCAGGGTTGAAATGAAGGAGAAAATACTAAGGGCAGCCAGAGAGAAAGGTCAGGTTACCCACAAAGGGAAGCCTATCAGACTCACAGCAGCTCTCTCAGCAGAAACCCTACAAGCCAGAAGAGAGTGGGGACCAATATTCAACATCCTTAAAGAAAAGAACTTTCAACCAAGAATTTCACATCCAGCCAAACTAAGCTTCATAAGTGAAGGAAAAATAAAGTTTTTTTGTGAACAAGCAAGCACTCAGAGATTTCATCACCACCAGGCCTGCTTTATAAGAGCTTCTGAAAGAACCACTACACATAGAAAGGAACAGACAGTATAAGCCTTTCTAAAAAATACCAAAAAGTAAAGAGCATCAATATAATGAAGAATTCACATCAATTAATGGGCAAAATAGCCAGCTAATATTAAACGGCAGTATTAAACTCACATATATCATTATTAATCCTAAATTTAAATTGACTAAATCCCCCAATCCAAAGACAGACAGGCAATTTGGATAAAAAACTAAAATCCATCGGTATGCTGCATCCAGACCCATCTCACATTCAAGGATACACAAAGACTCAAAACAAGGGATGAAGAAAGATTTACCAACCAAACAGAGAGCTAAAATAAATAAATAAAAAGCAGAAGTTACAATTTTTGCCTCTGATAAAATAGTCGATAAAGCAACAAAGATCAAAAGAAGCAAAGAAGGACATTCTATAATAATAAAAGGATCAACGCAACAACAAGAAGAGCTAAAGATCCTAAATATATACACACCCAATACAGGAATACCCAGACATACAAGACTAATAAAGAGACTTAGACTCTCACACAATAATAGTTGGGAGACTTCAACATTAATATTAGACAGATCAATGAGACAGAAAATTAACAACAATATCCAGGACTTGAACTCAGATCTGGAACAAGTAAACGTAATTAACATTTATAGAACTCTCCACTATAAATACACAAAATATACACTCTTATCAGTACCACATCATATCAACTTAGAAGTTTAAATGAAATATTGGTTGGCTCCTTGTTTGTTATTCTCTTCCCTCATTTTCTTTTATGGCTCCATTATTAAGGACAATTATAGGCATACCCATATTTAGACTGCATTCTAGCCCGGGCAATAAAGCAATACCCCCATTCTCTCTCCGTCTTCCTCTTTCTCTTTCTTCCTCTTCTTTATTCTTTTTCTTATTATTCTTTTTTTCTTTCTCAAAAGAAAAAAGAAAAAAAAATATTTGGTGTGGTTCAAGATAATTCTTTCATGGAGAATTACACTATTTGATGTTTCATTAACTCTTGCACCATAAAGTACTTTAATTGGACAACAAAATCATATTTATATGGATAAAGATATATATTTTTTAGAACCATTATTTAAAAAATAAATAAAATATTATGACTAATTTAAATATATTTGTAAACAATTTAAATTATTTCTGGGATTTTTGGTTACCTATTTTTTCTTCATCAATAAGATGAGGCATCCAATTCTGTGCATTGCTTGGATCAAAGATAAAATAGCAGTGAGTGATCTACTGGAGTTCTGTACTAAACATTGTACTAAAAACTGTAGTGGAAGAAGATTTAGGATGCCTGAATCCCAAACCTGTTTCTAAAATTCATGTGTCTTACGACCTTGGGTAAGCCATTTAACCAAGATGATATTTTAAGCTCCTTGAAAGTAATGATTCATCCATTTGGGGCATGCCTTCAAAAGTTATCATACAGAAATAATAGCAAGAAAATTTACCTAATTGAATTAACCTTTTGGGACTTTTTTTTTTCTGCAAATAAGAAAAGTAAACTCATGAATTACTAAAGCTTACTCTAAAGAGTTCATAAGTTTAATGGATGTGAATGTCTAACGAGAAACGTTTAATCATCATAAAACACCTGAGCCCCAAGCAAAAAAAAAAAAAAAAAAAAAAAAAAAAAAAAAAAAAAAGCTAAAATTTAAAGGTAATTTTAGTAAACTAAAATGACGAATGCAGTTAGGGATAAAAAGGTGCTATGTTTCCTGTGCTACTTTGCAGGTAGATATGACCATGTTAGACTAGACTTCAGCGATGAGATATGAGCTGAAATGATGCGTGCAATTTCAGGCAGGGCTTCCTTATTTTATTATTTTAATTTAATGTATTTTGACACCAAACCCCTGGAAGATGGTAAAGCTTCAAGGCAAACTTCTGAATTATGGTATGGAGGGAAGCTGTCTGCCAATCAGGAACATCTGTTTTAGTCTGTTCGGTGAAAAAGAAAAACAAAAACAAAAAAAACTTTACATAGTGTTTAAGGACATCATGCATTTGGGGACTGGGAATGGCGCAAGATGGCTGAATAGCAGCTTCCATTGATTATCCTCCCAACAGGAACACCAAAGTTAATAATTACGTAAAAAAAGGATCTTCATGAGAACCAAAAATCAGGTGAGCAAACACGGTACCTCATTTTAACATCATGTTGCTGAAAGAGTCACTGAAGAGGGTAGACAGGCAGTCTTGAATTCTCGATGCCACCTCCCCTCCATACTCTGGCAGTGACCGCTTGGCAAGAGAAGAGAATCTGTGCTCTTTGGGGAGGGAGAGCACAGTGACTGTGGGAATTTGCACTGGATATCGGTGCTGCCAACGTCAGGCAGAACTCGGCTGATGTCCGTGGAGGAAACATTTAGGTAATCCACAGCCACAGGGGAATTGCACATCAGTAGAACTTGAGTTTTGGCAGGCTTCACTACCATGTGCTCAAGTGCTCTGGAGTCTTAAATAAACTTGAAGGGTGGTCTTGGTCACAAGAGCGGCAACTCTAGGCAGGTCCTGTTGCTCTGCCGGGCTCAAAGCCAGTGGATTTGAGGGCGTGTGGCCTAGTGAGACACCAGCCAGGGTGGCCGAGGAAGTGTCTGCACCCTCTGTCCAGCAACCCCAGCTGGCAGCGCAGCTCCCAGCTCTCAAAGAGACTCCGTTCTTCTGCTTGAGGAGACGCGAGGGGAGAGTAAGGAGGTCTTCATCTTGCCACTTGGATACCTACCAGCTCAGTCACACTAGATACCCCAGGCAGAGTCTGAGGACTCCATTCCAGGTCCTAGCTCCAGGACATTTCTAGACACACTCTCGGCCGAAAGAGAACCTGTTGCCTTGAAGAGAAAGAGCGACTTCTGGAAGGGTTCATCAGCCTCTCATTAAGGGGCCCTGGGAGCCTAAACAATCAGCAGCAATACCCAGGCTGTGCTCACTGGGGGCCTTGAGGACTCAGAGCCTTGCTGGATTCAGCTGATGCCAAGCACATTCCCAGTTGCGGTAGTTTTGATACTATTTGCTGTAGAAGAGCAGAGCGAAGTCAGGGGACTTTGGCAGCTCTGGTCCCAGCTCAGCCACAGGGGTTGGAACACCAAGTTGGCTACTGGGGTCTCTGATTATAGGCCTTGACTCTTGGATGGCGTTTCTGGACCTTGCCCAGGCCAAAGGGGAGCCCACTTCCCTGAAGCGTGAGTCCCTGACCTGGCAACATTCTCCACAAGCCGAGTGAACTTAGCAGTGGCCTGGCCCTAAGTAAACGTGGGCAGTGGCCTGGCTGCAGTTCCTGTGGGCGTGTGGTGGTGACGGTGGTGGCATGGGGAGAGACTCTTCTGCCTGTGTAAACGGGAAGGAAGAGTGGAAGGGCTCTGTCTTGCATTTTGAGTGCCAGCTCAGCCGCAGTAGACTAGAGCACCAGGTAGATTTCTAAGGTTTCTTACTCCAGGCTCTGGCTCCTGGAAATCATCTCCAAACCAGGCCAGGACCTGAAAAACCTCACTGCCCTTAAGGGAAAGCACAAGGCCGGCTGACCTCACCACCTACTGATTGTAGAGCCCCAGGGTCTTCAGCAAATGTGGGAAGTAGCCAGGCAGTGGTCTTTGTTGGCCAAACTAAAGTTGTCGCTTTAGTTATACAGGCCCATAGATGGACAAGTATTGAGTCCCAGGGTCAGTGCTTGGGGTATGATGCCAAGAAATCACACCTGCACATGATTCATATGTTGTCGATAATAACATTTTGGACTTTGAGATGATTAAGATTCAGATGAAACTTTTGAGTTTGAGGTGACGTTAAAATGGGGCGAGACTCTTGGAAAGCTTTGAAAGGTTGAATCTATTTTACATTTGGGAGGAGCA